TCCAGGGAGCCGTGAGTGATGGTCACTGCTCTCTGCAGGGATAGATCGAGAAGTGTGCGAGCGATGGTACGTGTTCGCTCACTTCCTGACCTATTGAGCCAACGTGTGACCGTTTCATTGTCACACGTCGGATCCAACTGAAAAAAAATCACTCACCTCATAGTTCTCATTTAAGCCATGCATCATCTCTAACCGTTCCTGAATCCGAGCCCTTGTGATTAAACATACTAGGCAACCAAAATAATACACCGTAACAGTTTATGGGGATTATTCTACAATGACTAGAATAGTTGCCAATGGGTAATCTGTGACCAAGTTGGCTTCCAGCGCCACAAGTTTACATACTGCTTTTAAAATATTTAGCGCATACATATTATCTGTGATATTTCTATATTCTTATATTGAATGTCTGACAAAAGGAGCACAATCTTTTTAATCGCATGAGTCCTCTAAGACAGGACGAATCCCAGGAGCCAGATATCTTCTTAAAGTGCAACTGAAGCCAAAACATTTGTAGGAGTTCATTTATAAATGATTCCCCTGGCTATGTGGTCACATGGTACTACTGCCCCTAGATGGCCGCTAGTGCTGTGCCAACAGTATCCGCAAGGCTATGCCCTGGGGGGAACTTTTAGAGATGAACCCCTTAGGTTTGTATAGAATGTAGAGAGATTAGAACCACTGTCAGGTTTTTATTGCCGTCTGTGTCCCCATTCGGGAGATTTACTATATCTCTATATATATCTATATCTATCCTGGTGACCATTATCATTGGAAGCTAAAGAAAAATACCACATTTTGGGGGGTTGCCACCAGAACAGGAATAGATGAGAAATTTTCTATTCTGACAACCCTGCTGAGTGCTGACCACTAGAGATTCCCTCATTTTAGAGGGATTTCCTCTCACTTCCTTTGGTGACCATGGGACAGGAAGTAAGAGGAAATATCTCGAATGGGACACAAATGGCAAAAAAAAAAAAAAAACCTGGACTGGTTATAACCATCCTTTACTCTAACCAAAACTAAAAACAAATTTGGCTTCAGTTCTACTTTAAAAATGACAGTTGGTGCCTTATTTTGAGGTTATTTTCTAGTTGTAAATGGAGCTAGCTCATAGAAAAAAAACATACATACATACCAGCTGACTCTTGGTTTGGACAGACTAAATGTGTACCCCTGCTCTAAGATTACTAGACAAATAAAAAGCTTGATTTTGGAAAGGAGTGAAGATTTGTAGGTGACAAATTAGACCCGGAAGAAAAGACCCGTCAGATTCTAAAGATCTCCAGTGCAGTGAATCCAGCGGTGGTACCATTCACTCCAACATACTAGTAACAAGTTATTGTTCCAGAGGAACAAACCCATCTGTGACAGACAATGGGAAGTCTTGTGATCTAATGATGTCTAAACTGGTGCTAGGATCACGCCATGAAATCATTAGACAAATGTATAAGGGATTACATTTAGAAGAAAACCATTTTATAGACTTCTACACACACCTCTTAGGGCAGTTCATTTTATACAAGCGCAGCTCGACATCACCAGAATATTTAGTCAGTTTGATTCTACTGAAAGCTGTCAGAAAAAGCCAACGTGCTATAAGACAGGGGTAGGCAATCTTGGCATTTCAGCTGTTGTGGTCCCATCAGGCATTGCATGACTAACAGTTACAGGCATGACTCCCAGAGGCAGTAGCATGTTGGGATTTGTAGTTTCACTACAGCTTGACTTCCAGGGTTGCCTACCCATGTCCTAGACCAGCGGTGACAAACCTTTTTGAGCCCAAGTGCCGAAACTGGATCACTAAACTAACTCGTGTCTCAAAGTGCCAACCCCGCACTTAGACACGAGTACTGATGATTTCTTTTAGAAAAAAACACTTCATACGACCGTCTGAACTAATTATGTCCTTAAATCTTAGACGAAAAATACAATACAAGAGGTTTTAATTACACTACAGAGTGACATGTACCTTTGTACTGTGCTAATGAGTGAAATGTTCCATTGAAGTGTGCTACTAAGGTACATGTCATGCAGCACACTGCAAGGGAACAGTCTCTCTACAACTTGGAGTCAGTGGTGGAGCACCAGGGCCCAATACAACTGTGACCGTTGTGACCCTGTTATTTCTGCCACTGACTTCAACCTGTAACCTAGACAATAAGGAAATGAAAGAAGGGGTAGAAATGTGCTTTGTAGTGTCCACAGATTAGGCAACAGGTAACAAATTTGACAGATACATAAGAGACCATATACATTTAAACCATGTGCTACCATACTAAAGATAGTGTGCATCTCAGTGCTGCAGTGCCGGGGCTGGTGTATAAATGTGCCACTGTGTTGTTGTGTTTGGCGCTCAATCAGCAACCCCACAACTGTCACACACAGCTTACAATCAACTACCAACCATAGGGAGACCGTAGGATGGGCTCCAGATGAAACCATCAAAGGGCAACCAATCACAGTGAACAGGAGCCCCTCCTATTGACTTCCAGCACCATGGCCAACTTAAAAGGGCCTTCACCCTCCAGTGACAACGGGTTAACATGTCTTGGTCATTGGCTGTTAACTCTTTCCAATACAAATTCTGCACAGTGAATGAACGAACAGGAGCCCCTTCTGCTGACCTCCAGCATCAAAGACCACGCCTCTGCGAGTCATGGCTGTGGCTGGCAGAGTCTTGCAATGCCTCATGGGACTTGTAGTTCCACAGCTGCTGAAGGGCCAAAGTTGCCCACCACTGACTTAAAGGGACTTCTCCCACTGGCAGCAAGGCATTAACAAGCCTAAGTCAATGGCTTTTAACCCCCATCCACTCCAAATTCACCACCACGTTACAAACATGCATCAAAATGCATGTCAACGCACCCACCCAATGCTACCAAAACGCACACATAGATCTAAACAGGCCTTAATACATTCCACCTACGGAGTACAGCAATGAATCAGACACTGCAGCTGACTTTTCTGGTGCATGCATTTTAAATGACAGTGACTGACTCACCACAAGTAAATATTTAGCACTGCTTTATAAATATGCCACTCTAAGACTCCCTGCAGGATTTTTCATGAAAAATGCAGCAGGAAGAGCGAGACTCCACAGCAGAGATAGGGAGATCTCACCAGTGGTGTCCTCAAGAGAGAACATCACTGCAGCCTGAGTATGAGAATCCCCTATTTGGTGGGGGATATATGTCCTATCTTTATATTTCAACAATAGTGTTCTGGCGATGCCTTACATTTCTGAACTCAGGAGATAAAAAGAACCCTGGCAGCCAGTTCAGCTCTCCAGTATCTACCCATCATCATGATCATGTGGACTGACCCTTTAAGCCACGAAAAGCTGCTAGCTAGATAATAAAAAAGAAAAAAAAGTGCTTAATGGGGAGATCAAAATAATATTAGGCCCCCATTTACACTGGAGCATGATAATCGGCAGGTGTATGGAAGGCGTGCGATTGTTTCTACTGTACTGTTCCACGTCTTTTGTCTTACGAGCACGCTTGAAAACCTGCCGAAAATCGTACGATTTTTGGCGGGTTTGTGGCCTGCTCGTAAGGCAAATGTCACACGGGCCGGTGTGCGCAAGCGCACACTGCGCGCTCAGCATTGCAGTCATCGGAAGCCCTCCCCGCAGCAGGGCGGGTTTGCGACGATCGCAAGTACAATCTGCCTGTCCAAGACAGGCCGATCGTAGTACGAGCTTTAAATTAGCTTACAACCATCGCAAGACTTCATTTTGGTTGTAAAGTGTATGGCCAGCTTAAAAGGTTACCACACACACACACACACACACACACATTACAATCTAACCAGACAATCAACTTCAGATTTACCAAAGCAATGTAATTTAAAGACATACCTAGCCTATCCAATCAGGTAGGACCTTGCACTACCTACTTGTTGGTAGATTTAAAGGTGAATGCAATCTGATTGTACAATATGCGTGGTCACCTTAAACTCCCTAATCATATTACAATCTGATAGCACAATCTCCTCTAGATCTACTGACATCTATGTAGTGCCAGGTCCCCTCTAGATCTACTGGCATCTATGTAGTGCCAGGTCCTCTCTAGATCTACTGACATCTATGTAGTGCCAGGTCCTCTCTAGATCTACTGACATCTATGTAGTGCCAGGTCCTCTCTAGATCTACTGACATCTATGTAGTGCCAGGTCCTCTCTAGATCTACTGACATCTATGTAGTGCCAGGTCCTCTCTAGATCTACTGACATCTATGTAGTGCCAGGTCCTCTCTAGATCTACTGACATCTATGTAGTGCCAGGTCCTCTCTAGATCTACTGACATCTATGTAGTGCCAGGTCCTCTCTAGATCTACTGACATCTATGTAGTGCCAGGTCCTCTCTAGATCTACTGACATCTATGTAGTGCCAGGTCCTCTCTAGATCTACTGACATCTATGTAGTGCCAGGTCCTCTCTAGATCTACTGACATCTATGTAGTGCCAGGTCCTCTCTAGATCTACTGACATCTATGTAGTGCCAGGTCCTCTCTAGATCTACTGACATCTATGTAGTGCCAGGTCCTCTCTAGATCTACTGACATCTATGTAGTGCCAGGTCCTCTCTAGATCTACTGACATCTATGTAGTGCCAGGTCCTCTCTAGATCTACTGACATCTATGTAGTGCCAGGTCCTCTCTAGATCTACTGACATCTATGTAGTGCCAGGTCCTCTCTAGATCTACTGACATCTATGTAGTGCCAGGTCCTGTCTGATTGGCTCTTTATATTACCTAGTTTTGATAAATGGAAAGTTGATTGTACCATGTACAGCATAATGACCTTTAAAGGAGACCGTACAATCAGAGTATGTGCAGCCTTAGATCAACCATACTGATTGCCATCACCCTTTAGATTTCAACATCTCCATCAGACATATTCCCCCCTAGTTCTGTATTACACAGATCACACATACTCGCTGTCACTGCTCTGGGTCACTGTCGCCATGACTTTGTGACACCTATGAGCACTTACCGAAAAAAGCCGGCAGATGAGACACAGAGTCCAGGAAACTGCAGGTGTCGATCTGCTTATCGGCAGGTAATTGTTTGAACTGGTGCTGGATGAGTACAGCCATCCTGGGGGCCCCTGATCAACGTGCACCGGTAAATCCCGTCCGTCTACTTCGCCCTCTGCCCGGACAAACGCGGAACTGTACAAGTCAACTATCTCCCCGTGCAGCTGACTGCCGAGGGCGGAGCTTTCAGAACGCGCCGCGTCCAATCAGCGAGGGGAGTCTCTGTCTATAAGTCTATACTATGTGCTGTTGGAACGTCACTCATCACGGGAGCGCGGGGAAGGCGGTACGATTTCTGACCAATCGCGTGTGAGCGAGAGAAGGCTAGCCAATAGGCGTACAGCAATACAGTGGAGCGGTGGCCGCTTTCAGGAGAGTGAATTAATAATAAAGACTAAGATGAGAGAGGAGGTTACTTATTAATTATTTAATATGACTTTCCACAGGCGGTACAGTGGTTGGCGAGGTCAGGCACCGAACTTTAAATAGACGGGTGTCATTTAACCAGTTGACATCCGCGGTGTTAAACCCCCTTCCCATCCAGGCCATTTTTCAGTATTCAGCGCTGCGGTACTTTGACTGACATTTATTCCGTCATGCAGCGCTGTACTGAAATGAATTTTATACCCTTTTTTGGGGACAGATAGAGCTTTCTTTTGGTGGTATTTATTCACCACTGGGGGTTTTATTTTTTTACTATATTAAGGAAAAATTACCGAAATTTAAAAAAAAAAACAGTTTCCCCTAAGCTGAAGCAGATATTGTCTAAATACAAGATACATGTGTATTATTATCTGAATCTTGGTGTGATTTGCGGATTTCTTCCAGATCTGTGCCATAATCCTTCATAAAACCTTGTCTCTGTGCAGGAGCTTCCTGTAAAAAAAGACCGGTCACTACTACCCTCTCTCCTTGAGCAGGGTGCCTAGTCTTGACTCTGTCCATCCTGTAGTTTTCCAGTCTGAAGTGGGTGGGTCTTTTGGGCCACTCCCACAGCTCTGCTCAGGCTGTGGAGAGCAGAGTGATGATGCCACCAATACTTTACAAGGTTTGCATTTTGGTGCAGACAAGGTGCATTTCTATCCTTTGTGGTTATTAAGGAATATATTTTAATTTAAAAGTTTTTTTTGTTTTGGAGTTCAGCTTTAACGCCTTGCCGTCCGTCCATTGTAAAAGTACGGGCGGACCCTTCCCGTCGGGGTCGCGTAAATGTACGTCTTTTTTTTTTCTGCTCGTGAGCGCCCTCTGGCAGGCGCGCTCGTGAGCGCACCCAATCAGAATCCCGCTGGGAAGGATCCATTACCGGCTTTCTCATACAAGCATTCGGCCGGCTCTGTAGCCCTTGATCGCTTGTATGACCTCGCATTGTGCGCCCCCCTTTGCTGCCGCACACCCCCCTCCTTCGCCGCTGCAGGTTATCCCGGGCACCGCTGTCCAGGGGCGTAGATAAGGGGGGGATACCCCCAGAGGGTCCGGGCAGTGGTGTTGCGAGAGAGGGCAGAAGGGGGGAATATGCTCCCGAGCACCCGTCTGAAGAACATCCACAGACAGGCAGGGCCTTCTAAAGGGATGCCGGGGATATCCTGTTTAATAAAACATCGGTGACGGCTGGAGGAGAGCTGTATTTTACGGACGCCGATGTTTTATCAAACAGGGCATCCCCAGCATCCCTTCAGATGTACATATGCCTGCCTGGCCCTGGATGATCTGTACATGCCTCAGTGCGGGCTCTGCAGGAGGCAGCGTGTTCTTCCAGGATCAGAAGGATGGAGACAGAACAGGCAATCAGGTAGCAGGGGCTGGGGAGGGGGGGTGTTTGTATTATCTGTGAGTAGTGAATATACTTCTGTTTTTAGCCTTTGTGTTGCAAAGTCCACAGTCTAGTGCGTTCCTAGGGGCCTGTGCACACCTAGAGGACACATCACCACACGGCAATCGTGCACGATTCCGCGTGGTCAGGAGTCGCCTAGGTGTGCACTGATCGCGCTCTGGGTGCCATTATTTTCTAAAGGCACCCCAGTCGCGCGGGGCGGATTGCACGGTTTTCCGCTGCGATTCCGCCCATGCTTCCTAACATGATCCAGGCTAAAACAGCTGCGCGTCGTGTATCTTTTTTCTGCGATTGCCGCGCGGATGTCACCCCATTGAATGGATGAATGGGGCCGCAAGGCAATCGCGGCCTGCATTGTGCAGGACCGCATGATCCTGGGACGCGCGTTCCCGGATCGTATAGGCCTGCACCGGGCCTGAGTCCAGAGTCAATTGCGTTCCTATGTCAAGTGCCAGTTGCGTTCCTATGTCAAGTGTCAGTTGCGTTCCTATGTCAAGTGTCAGTTGCGTTCCTATGTCCAGTGCGTCCTAAATCCAGTGTCCAAAGTCTGTACTGGAGGGCAGGCTCATAAAGAGAACCTGTCACCTGCTATGTCACCTGCGAATGCTATCACACAGGAACTTGTTAACCTGTGTGATAGCAATAAAGTTAAAGTGACATTAAAGTAAAAAATCTTTTTCCCTCTCCCCATAATGTTAATGTCAGCACTTACCTTAACCACTTGAAGGCCATAGTGTTTCACCCCCTTCCTGACCAGGCCATTTTTCAGTATTCAGCGCTGCCGTACTTTGACTGATGTTTATTCTGTCATGCAACGCTTTACTGAAACGATTTTCATACCATTTTTTGGGGACAGATAGAGCTTTCTTTTGGTGGCTTTTATTCACCACTGGGGTTTTTATTTTTTACTATATAACAAAAAAAGTACCCTAAATTTTGAAAAAAAACATGACGGTTTTCGCCCTCCCGCTCTGAGCAGACGTCCATCTGGCCGTTCACAAACGGCCATGGACGTAAGGTAGTTAAATGATGTCTCTTAATCTGATCTTCTTTCCTGTCCTTTTCATCTGTCCCTCCAGCGCTGCGGCGGGTCTGCGATCCAGCACTGACTCCTCTGAGCTTGCTGACACTTCCTGTCCCGTGCTGGTGTACGTGTCCATAGGCTTACCTTGTGTCTCTCCTCGCGTCCCGGCCGAAAATGTGAACTGTGCATACGCCCACCCCAAGATGCTTTGCGGTTGCCCGAGAATTTTCACATTTTCGGATGGGAACGCGCGGGGAAAACACAGGTAAGTATTAACCCTTTTCAAATAGTTTTTTTTTTCACTTTTTGCATATATCTACTGCTTACCAGCAGTAGATATATGGAAAAAAAACCGGAGGGTTTAATAACAATAAATTAATAATAATAATAATCAGCAGAGCCCAACCTGAGACTCCGCACAGCCCGACTGAGTTTCCGCACAGCCCACCTGAGACTCCGCACAGCCCACCTGAGACCCCCACAGGCTACCTAAGACCCCTCTAGCCCACCTGATACTCTGCACAGCCCACCTGAGACTCCTGCACAAAATAAAAGACTTTCCCCATGGCGCCTAATTTTTTACACAGATAGAACTTTCTTTTGGTGCTATTTGATTGCCGCTGATTTTTTTAAATTTAATTTATCATATAAATGAAAAAAGAACAAAAATTGTGGGGGGAAAATATTTTCAACTTTTTGTTATACAAAATATCAAATAAAATCAAATTTCTTCCTAAAGTTAGGCCAAAATGTATTCTGCTAAATGTTTTTGGTAAAAACAAAATCCCAATAAGTATATACTAAGCGGTTTTTGTGAATTGGTACCAATTATAAGTCTTTTTAAAACGTGGTTTTTATCCATATGGTGTCAAACAGCAAAATCGGTATTGCTCAGGGTAAAGGATTGGTTTAGGAATGATATGGCCGGTATATTTTTTTCAAACCTTTGTGTGTCTGCTAGATAAAGTCTTATAATTTGAGGAAGCTGAACCCCCCCCCAGAAAAAAAAATTATCTACGGCCCTGCTGCTGTCCCCCCTGCAGTGCCCGGGACTGACAGGACCGCCACAGCGGCTCCTCGAAGAGAGAAGGAGGAGAGATCAGCATTTCCCATCGCTGATCTCTCCCCTTCTCTCTCTAAAGTCAGAAGTGATGTCTATTACATCACTTCCGCCTTTAGATGTCATTTCTCTGTCTGGGTGCCAGAGAAGAAGCTGGTGAAGCAGATATCTTCTTCATCAGCTTCTTTGGGGGTCCCTAGGTGACATTAGGGGTCTTGGGGACCCCTGGTGTCTCTATAAAGAGCACCTGTCATTGTTTTCTAGCTATCACATTGGGGGATTTTTAGCCCCCTATGTGACAGCAATAAAGTTGAGAGTAAAAAAAAAAAAAATGTCTCATATAAAAAAAAAAGTTTTAAGTCCCCCGCGTGCACGCACGTATATACGTAAATACGTGTTGGACGCGCCTACGTGCAAAAACAATGATTGTGCCGCACATGTTACATATCATCGTGAACGTCGCAGTGAGAGCAATAATTTTAGGGCCGTCAATCACTGATAACACTAAACTGATGAATGGTAAAAACTTTTAAAGCATCGCCTATATTTATTATA